GCTTCCTGCTGAGTTCTGCGCCAAGAACCCCCCCCCCCATGTACATCACCCTCTACTACTAAGTCACCCGTCTCCCTAACTCCCTTCGCGTAGTCAGGGACCACTTCCTCTCAGTTTGCCCCACCACTCTCACTGTTGACCTCCTTGAGAGGGCCCTCCTAGCAGCAAAAAAGAGCATAGTCGCTGTAGGAGCCTCTCGTGGTGACCCTCGCACCCCCATCTTTGAGGGGTGTTCCCCCTCCCCTCTTTTGCCCCCTGTTGCCTCTGCTGCTGCGGCCGACCTCGTTGGTCTGGAGTCGGTCGGTGCGGCGTGTACCCCTAGTGAGAAGCGTCGCTTTGGCAAGGGCAAGGGGGGCAGAGGCGCTGGAGGAGCTAGCGGGGGCGGTGGAGGCGGCGGTGGAGGCAATGGAGGGGGTGGGGGTGGTGGTGGGAGTGGTGGTGGGGGTGGAGGTGTCGGCGGCGGCAGTGGAGGCGGAGGCAGCGGCGGCGGTAGCGGTGGGAGTAGAGGTGGTGGAGGTGGCGGAGGTGGAGGAGGCGGTGGCGGAGGAGGAGGAGGAGGAGGTCGTGGCTCTTCGCAGAGGAGTGGCTCCGGTGGTGGTCAGCGCCAGCAGCAGCAGCGCAGTCGGGAGACCCTGTCCCCTCAGCAGCTCCGTGAGTGGTACGCTGCACGCCAGCGGGGTGGGGGTACTGGTCCGTGCACCTACGTCCTGCGCACCGGCGACCGTGCGGGTAAATAGTGTGGGGGTGCGCACCCCACCCAGCGCTGCTTTGGCCGCCTGACGGACGCTTGGCGTCACCAGTTCCCTGAAGCCACTGAGATCCCTCGCTGGGGCGAACTGTCTAGGGCAGGGGTAGCTATCTTTGACCTTGACTTTGATGCTATTCTTGCTGCTATGTATGCTGTGTCTATTAGTGATGAGGGTGACTGTTACCGGTGTTTCCCGCCCGACCCGGGCATTGAGACTGCTGCTCTAGGTGCTGGTGAGGCTGCTGCTCTTGGTGCTAGCGAGGCTGCTGCTCTAGGTGCCAGTGCGTCTGCTTCCACCGGTGCTGGTGAGTCTGCGCTCTCAAGTACTGCGTCGGTTTCGGCCTCCCACACCTTCACACTTGACTCGGGGGCTTCTCGCTCCTTCTTTCGAGACCGCACCACACTCCCGCCGCTTGGTCGGCCAGTTGCAGTCTCCCTGGCAGACCCCTCTGGGGTGCCTGTCCTTGCTCACTTCTCCACTGTCCTCCCGTGTCCGGCGGCCCCCTCTGGCACCCTGTCTGGTCTTTACCTCCCCTCGTTCTCTACGAACTTGGTGAGTGGTGCTGACCTACAGGATGCGGGGGTTCACCAGTTCACTCCTGCGAGTCAGCGGGTGACCCACTGCACGGACGCTCGGACAGGCCGACACCTGGCCACGTTTACACGTCGGCCGGAGTCGAGCCTGTACACACTGACCACTGCGTCTCCTCCAGTCACTGCGTCTGGTCAGGTAGCTGCGTCGGGTCAGGTGTTTGCTACTGCGTCCAGGTCTGGTCCTGAGTCTGCCCCCTGCTCGTGTCGCCTCCTGTCTCACGAGACTCTCCTCTTGCACCACCGCCTTGGTCACCCCTCCCTGCTTCGTCTCTGAAGCATGGCCTCCCGTGTCCTTGTCTCTTGTCTTCCCCGGTCCCTCCCTCCCCTTCCTCCGGGGCCTGGCCCTACCTGCGTTCCCTGTGTCGAGGGGCGGCAGCGGGCTGCCCCTCACTCCTCCCAGTTTCCTCCGACAGAGGCCCCGCTGCAGACGCTTCACATGGACGTGTGGGGCCCAGCCCGCGTCCGTGGACAGAGTTACGAGCGCTACTTCCTGCTGGTGGTTGACGACTACTCGCGTTACACCACTGTCTTCCCTTTGCGCAGCAAGGGTGATGTCACTAGGGTGTTGATCGACTGGATCGGCGCAGCTCGTCTCCAGCTTAGGAAGAGCTTCGGCTCGGACTTTCCTGTTTTGCGTTTGTACTTTGATAGAGGCGGAGAGTTCTCCTCTGGCCTTCTGCGAGCCTACTGTCGTGCACGAGGCATCCGCCAGACCTTCACGCTTCCGGACTCTCCACAGCAAAATGGGATTGCTGAGCGCAGCATTGGCATGGTCATGGACGTCGCCCGTACGTCCATGATGCATGCGGCTGCCCCCCATTTTCTGTGGCCGTTTGCGGTCCGGTACGCGGCGCATCAGATCAACCTTCGGCGCACCGACACTTCTCTGCCGCCGTTCTACATCCTCGTGTACGTCGACGACTTGGTCTTTGCCACAGCTGACACTGCTGGACTCGCCCACGTGAAGTCTGAGCTGTAGAAGAGACACACGTGTACTGACCTGGGTGAACTGCGCAGCTACCTTGGCTTGCAGATCACCCGGGATAGAGCACAACGCACTATTACCTTGACTTAGTCAGACATGGTGCAGCAGGTCCTTCAGCGCTTCGACTTCACGTACTCCTCACCTCAGGCCATTCCTCTGTCTACTCGCCACTCGCTCTCAGCTCTGCCTTCGGATGAGTCCGTAGAGCCGAGTGGCCCGTACCCAGAGCTTGTTGCGCTACTTGTGCAGTACGTCAGGCATGGGGCTTGTTCTTGGAGGGCAGAGTCCAGTGGTCCTCACTAGGCATGCAGAGGCTTCTTGGGCTGACGACCAGGCTACGCAGCGGTCGTCACAGGGTTACACCTTCAGCCTTGGTTCCGGCTCTGTTTCGTGGCGGGCTACTTGCTCGTCTTCTGTTCTCGGCTCCAGTTGTGAGGCTGAGATCTACGCAGGAGCCATGGCTGCACAGGAGCTTCGTTGGCTCACCGACCTGCTGACTGACCTCGGAGAGCCGCCTCGTTCTCCTCCAGTGCTGTACGTAGACAACAAGGCCATGCTGGCCTTGTGTCGGGAGTAGCGACTGGAGCACAGAACGAAGCACATTGCTCTCCGCTACTTTCTTGCTCGTGAGCTGCAGCAGCGTGGTCAGCTGCGTCTTGCGTACGTGGCCTTTGAGGCCAACACTGCTGATATCTTCACCAAGGCGCTTGCGCCTTGTGACCATCAGCGCTTCTGTACTCAGCTGGGCCTTGTGCCTACCTTGCCTCACTTGCTCACCTCTTGACCTTGCTTGTACTGTTACATATATATATACACCTGCTCTCGCTTGTCTAGCCTTTTATATATATATGTACTCCTGCATGTGAACTGGCCTTGTGGCCTTGAACTTGTGCTCGGAATGTGTGGTGACTTTGTGATCCACCCTGAGCTTGCTTTGCTTTGCTTTGCTTGACTGGTCTTGTGACCCCTTGTTCTCCCCCACTTTGCCTATGGGGGTGTGTCAGAACATTATAGCTTATGCATATTGTGTAGGCCATAGTGGGGTAGCCCATAAGGGGTACAACCCAATTAGGGTTAGTACTTGTACCCAATTCATTCATAGTCCATTCATTCCTTGTTTCTTCTCAACAACAACTGCCCCCTGTCCAAGCAATGAAGTCATCAACTCTGCGCAAGCACGCTTTCTCAGCGTTTCAAAAATAAAGACACAGCCGCATTTGACGACAACGACTTTTGCACGTGGAGTTTCGAGCTTGAGCTCCTCCTACAGACAGCGCAGATCTACCATTACTTCGACGGCTCCTATCCTAAACTGGTGGAAGACACCGACGATGCCAGGGCTCAGTACTACAGCAAGTCCCGACACCGATGGCGTATAGTGTGCTGCTGCGAAACATGACGCCTGCGGAACAACTCAGCATTCGCTCCTACAAAGAGAGCGCCACTCCAGCCTTGGAAGCCTGGAAGCACCTCGTTAAGGTTTATCAACCGAAGGATTCGATTACCGCCAGCAGGCTCCTACAGCAACTCATGGAGACAAAGATGGGGCACGGGGAGAAAGAGAATTCTTATATTAACCGCTGTCGGAATATCCGTGACCAGGTCACGAAGCATGGGAGCGCAATCTCATAAGAGATTTTCGTCAACATAGTTATTCAAGGACTCGGGCCAGAGTTGAAGCCCTGCAAAGCGCTACTCCGACAGCGAGGAATCCTCTCAAAAGCCGCGCTATGCGCCACACTCCTGACTGAACATCAGGACATGGACTCGAGCAGAACAAGCTCTGCGCCGCGCCGAGAGCGCCTCGCCTTCTACGCAGACAACCGTGAAGAGCGACGACAACCAAGGCGCCACTATTGCAAAATATGCAAAGTCTTCGGACATTCAACGGATCGATGCAAATCCCGATCCAACTATCGCCACCCGAATTCCACTCACCACAACAACTGGGTCGGCCGACAAAACGCTCGTCATTCTCAGCCTCAGCATCTGACATCTCGTCCCCCTGAGCAACACCAACATTAGCAGCCACAAGGACCTCAATCAAGAGCTCCTAGAAACAATATCGCGAACATGGCGACGCAACGTCGTCGCACTGCTGAACCAGACGAAGAGGACGAACTTCGCGGAGGACTGATTGAACCAGAAGAGGGATGGAATAATCCTCTCACAAAAGACCACTACTACCAGTATGACGAAGAGGAGCAAGATTGACACCTGCCAATAACACTGCGGGAAAACCCGCCACATGACAACCAACACTACGTACCTGTGGGATGGAAAGAAGACGAAGATCCATTCTTCCACAGGCGCTACAAGGCAACCCTGGTGTGGAGAATAGAGCGAGAATGAATGAACTATCAGTGAAGTGAGTACAAATAGCAAAACCCTAATTGGGTTGTACCCCCTATGGTATACCCCACTGTAGCCTACACAACAGCATAAGCTACATATATGTTCTGACACACCCCCATAGGCAAAGTGGGGGAGAACAAGGGGTCACAAGACCAGTCAAGCAAAGCAAAGCAAAGCTCAGGGTGGATCACAAAGTCACCACACAGTCCGAGCACAAGAGCAAGGCTACAAGGCCAGTTCACATGCAGGAGTACAGACATATATATATAAAGCTAGACAAGCAAGAGCAGGTATATATATGTGACAGTACAAGTAAAGTCAAGAGGAGAGCAAGTGAGGCAAGACAGGCACAAGACCCAGCTGGGTGCAAAAGCGCTGATGGTCACAAGGCGCGAGTGCCTTGGTGAACACATCAGCAGTGTTGGCCTCAGAGGCCACGTACGCAAGCCGCAACTGTCCACGCTGCTGTAGCTCACGAGCAAGGAAGTAGCGAAGAGCAATGTGCTTCGTTCTGTGCTCCAGACGCTGCTCTCGACACAAGGCCAGCATGGCCTTGTTGTCTACGTACAGCACTGGAGGAGAACGAGGCGGCTCTCCAAGGTCAGTCAGCAGGTAGGTGAGCCAGCGAAGCTCCTGTGCAGCCATGGCCCCTGCGTAGATCTCAGCCTCACAACTCGAGCTGAGAACCGAAGACGAGCGAGTAGCCCGCCACGAGACAGAGCCGGAGCCAAGGCTGAAGGTGTAACCCTGTGACGACCGCTGCGTAGCCTGGTCGTCAGCCCAAGAAGCGTCCGCGTGGCCTGTAAGGACCACTGGACTCCGCCCTCCAAGCACTAGCCCCATGCCCGACGTACTGCACAGGTAGCGCAATACCCTCTTCGCTGCAGCCATGTGCTCTGGTCGGTGTCTCCCAGGAGCAACATAGCGTGCAAGAATGCTAAGAGGGTATGCAAGGTCAGGTCGTGTGCAGGTCATCAGGTACATGAGGCAGCCAACAAGCTCTGGGTACAGGCCACTCGACTCTACGGACTCATCCGAAGGCAGAGCTGAGAGCGAGTGGCGAGTAGACAGAGGAGTGGCCTGAGGCGAGGAGTACGTGAAGCCGAAGCGCTGAAGGACCTGCTGCACCATGTGTGACTGAGTCAAGGTAATGGTGCGGCGTGCTCTGTCCCGAGTGATCTGCAAGCCAAGGTAGCTGCGCAGTTCACCCAGGTCTGTGCACGTGTGTCTCTTCAGCAGCTCGGACTTCACGTAGGCGAGTCCAGCAGTGTCCGCTGTGGCAAAGACCAAGTCGTCGACGTACACGAGGATGTAGAACGGCGGCAGTGAAGTGTCGGTGCGCAGAAACAGCGACGGGTCAGCAGTAGAAGGAGCAAACCCAAGGGCCGCAAGTGTAGTCCTCAGTGTGTCGTGCCACTCACGTGGTGCCTGGCGGAGACCGTAGACTGGCGGTCGGAGGCTCCACTGGGTGCCAGGAGGGAAAGTCCCAGTGAAGCCAGGTGGACGGCGCAGCCAAATCTCCTCGTGCAGGCTCCCCTGCAAGAACGCAGTACTGAAGTCGAGAGAGTGAAGCTCGTAGTCGCGCTGAGCGGCTATGTGCAGCAGCACCCGAAGAGTGGTCATCTTCGGGGTGGGAGAGAAGGTCTGAAAGTAGTCAACTCCCTGCCGTTGACTGAAGCCACGAGCGACGTACTGCGCCTTGAAGACAGGTGGAGACCCCGGCGGCCGCTTCACCCGGAAGATCCACATGCCACTGACGATGTTCGCCCCAGGAGGGGGAACCGCGTCAACGTAGGTGCCTGTGGACTTCCAGGAAGCCATCTCTGCATCCATAGCTGCCTGCCACTGAGAGGAGTAGGGACCCTCTACGGCCTCCGCGTAAGAGCGCGGAGTCGGGATGTCTAGTGCATCCGGGTCTCCCTCAGGAGCAAGCAGTACAGACGCGAGATGAGGTGAAGCAGCAGCCAGACACTGGAACTCCTCCTGCTTGTCCTCTAGGACGTCCGTGCCAAGAGCACACTCACCCCCGACGGACGGAGGACAGACAGACGCAGACTCAGCAACAAGACTAGCAGCGTAGTCTAGACGACAGCGAGGAGCAAAGTCGACAAGCTCAGCGACAAGAGCAGACGCAGCAGCGGACTCAAAAGAGGGGTCAGTGACGACAGTAGCAAGCAGACGCGTGACAGTAGGACTGGCAGCACGAAGGGAGTCCGACTCTGGGTCGGTAAGCACAGGAAGGGAGGACTCAGGAGGAGAAGGCAAAAGGGCACGCAAAGGAGCAGTGGACGGACGCAGAGACATCCGGTGCGTGCCAGGGACAGGAGGAGGACGCGGACGCGAACCACGACCACTAGCGCGGGCAGCACAAACAGGCGACGCGGGACGAGACGCAGGCTCACGACGCTCAGCAAGACCTCCAGTAGGACCAGTGTAAGGAGAGGGAGCAGGCAGTGGGGAGGTAGGCTCCAACAGTGACTGCGACTGGACAGGCTGTGGACACTCTACCGGAGGAGAAAGACCAAGAACCTGCTGTAGAAGCGTAACGAAGTACGGCCGAGGCCGCGCGGCAGCTCCAGACTCAGCAGGGACAGCACCAGCACCCTCAGCGGCAGCACCAGCGCCACCAACACCTCCAGCGGCAGGACCTCCAGCAGCACCAGCAGCAGAACCACCGTCAGGACAGACAGCAGCAGACTCAGCACCAACGCCCTCAGCAGCCCCAGCTCCAGTAGGACCCGTAGGCGTAGCACCTCCGGGACCGGCGGCACCAGTACCCTCGACGGTCGAAGAAGCTCCAGCTCCAGCAGTACGCCTCTAGCGGCGAGCAAACCACTCCCGCAGCTCCTGTGGAGAGAGGGGCTCCCGCCGAGACGCAGCACCTGGAGAAACCCTAGGCTCAGCGGCTCCAGACGTAGCACCCCCAGGCTCAGCAGCCCCAGACTCAGCACCCCCAGGCTCAGCAGCTCCAGACTCAGCACCCCCAGGCTCAGCAGCTCCAGCTCCAGTAGGACCCGCAGGCCCAGCAGCTCCGGGACCGGCAGCACCAGCACCCTCAGCAGTCGAAGGAGCTCCAGCTCCAGCAGCACGCCTCCAGCGGCGAGCAAACCACTCGCGCAGCTCCTGTGGAGAGAGCGGCTCCCGCCAAGACGGAGCAACCGGAGAGCCCCCAGGTCCAGCAGTCGCAGGCTCCGCACCTCCAGGCTCAGCACCCCCAGGCTCAGCAGCTCCTGACGTAGCACCTCCCGGCTCAGCACCCCCAGCAGCAGCACCCCCAAGCTCAGCACCCCCCGGCCTCGCACCCCCAGGCTCAGCACCCCCAGCAGCAGCACCCCCAAGCTCAGCACCCGCAGGCGTAGCACCCCCAGACTCTGCACCCGCAGCAGGACCAGACTCAGCAGCAACCTCGACTGGCTCGACTGTGTCTACCTGGGACACACCTGAAGGGGCAGGAACCTGAAGGGGGAGGGGGTCTACCGGGGGGGGAACTGGCACCACGAAGTCCGGTGGGGGGGGGAGGGAAGGAGTACGGTAGGGGAAGAGGCGGTAGAAGGGGATTGACTCGTCGAACGTGACGTCTTGCGAGGACAGAACACGACGAGAGGAGGGGTGGTAGAACTGCCACCCTGGAGCGTCAGGGGGGAAGCCAAGGAAGACACAGGGAGCAGCACGGGGGGACAGCTTGTCCGCACACAAGTCGCGGACAAACGCCCGAGATCCCCAGACACGGAACGCAGACGCATCGCCGACCTTCCCCGTCCACAGTAACACTGGGGACATATCGGGCCGAGAGACCCTGGGGTGAAGGTTGAGCTGATGCGCCGCGTACCTCACCGCAAACGGCCACAGAAAATGGGGGGCAGCCGCATGCATCATGGACGTACGAGCGACATCCATGACCATGCCAATGCGGCGCTCAGCAATCCCATTTTGCTGTGGAGAGTCCGGAAGCGTAAAGGTCTGGCGGATCCCCTGTGCACGACAGTAGTCTCGCAGAAGGCGAGAGGAGAACTCCCCACCTCGGTCAGAGTGCAGACGCAGAACAGGAAAGTCCGAGCCGAAGCTCCTCCTGAGCTGGAGACGAGCCTCGCGGATCCAGTCGATCAGCACCTCAGTGACAGCACCCTTGTTGCGCAAGGGGAAGACTGTGGTGTAACGCGAGTAGTCGTCAACCACCAACAGGAAGTAGCGCTCGTGACCCTGCCCACGGACGGGGGCCGGGCCCCACACGTCCATGTGAAGTGTCTGCAGAGGAGCCTCTGTCGGGGGAAACTGGGAGGAGTGAGGAGCAGCCCTGAGGCGCCCCTCGACACAGGGGACACAGGAAGGTCCTGGTCCCGAAGGAAGGGGAGGGAGAGAGTGGGGAAGACCAGAGACAAGGACACGGGAAGCCATGCCCCGAAGACGGGGCAAGGAGGGGTGGCCAAGACGGTGGTGCCACAGGAGAGTCTCGTGAGACAAGAGGCGACACGAGCAGGGGGCAGACTCAGGACCAGACCTGGACGCAGCAGCAAACACCTGACCTGACGCTGCTACCTGACCGGACGCAGGGACAGGAGGAGACTCAGTGGTCAGGGTGTAGAGGCTTGACCCCGGCCGACGCGAGAACGTGGCCAGGTGCCGGCCTGTGCGTGCGTCTGTGCAGTGGGTCACCCGCTGACTCGCAGGAGTGAACTGGTGAACCCCCGCATCCTGCAGGTCTGCACCACTCACCAAGTTCGTCGAGAACGAGGGGAGGTACAGGCAAGACAGGGTGCCCGAGGGGGCAGCCGGACACGGGAGGACAGTGGAAAAGTGAGCGAGGACAGGACCCCCAGAGGGGTCAGCCAGGGAGACTGCAACAGGCCGACCAAGCGGCGTGAGTGTGGTGCGGTCCCGAAAGAAGGAGCGAGAAGCCCCAGAGTCAAGTGTAAAGGTGAGGGAGGCCGAAGCCAACGTGGTACCTGAGAGCGCAGCCTCACCCGCACCTGAGGAAGCAGACTCACTAGCACCTAGAGCAGCAGCCGCACCTGTACCTGGAGCAGGAGACTCACTAGCACCCAGAGCAGCAGCAGCCTCACCAGTAGCTAGAGCAGCAGGTCCTATACCCGGGTCAGGCGGTACGCACAGGTGACCGGCACGGTCAGCACTAGTAGGCAATGCATACATGGCAGTGAGAATAGCATCATAGTCAAGAGCAAATATATCTACCCTCTGCCTAAGCAACTCCACCCAGTCGGGGAGCTCAGCCTCGTCGCCAAACACGGTACGCCAGGCGTCGCTCAGACGGGCGAAGCAGCGGGACTGTGTATGACTAGGTGTCCCACAAGGCTGACCAGTCCGAGCACCAGTGAGAATCACGTAAGAGTAGCGAACAGAACTGAGAGACCCTCCACTCTGAGCGTACCACTCACGAAGCTGCTGAGGCGTGAGAGACGCGCGGGGGGGTCGCGGGAGCTGCATCTGGCCGCCACCAGTAGTAGAAGCAGCAGGAGTGGTAGCAGTAGTAGCGCCACCACCCCTACAGCCCCAACCAGCATACCACTCACGCAGCTGCTGGGGCGTGAGGGACTCACGCAGACGTCGATGGGGCCGCATCTGGCTCCACCAGTAGAGGCAGGAGTAGGAGTAGCAGCAATAAGGCAGGCAGCCAGGCAAGCCAAAAAGGGAGGCAGGCAGGCAAGCAGGCGACGCGCAGCGTGCTAGCAGGGCAGGGGCTCACCAGTGGTGGGTAGAGTAGGCTCGGCGACTCAGAGGCTCGGCAGCACGGGGGCTCTGCGGCTCGGGCGACTCGGGCGGCTCGGCGGCAGGGCGGCTCGGCAGCAACTGCAGCTCGGCAGCTCGGCGACCCGGCGGCGCGGCTGTAGGGCGGCTCGGCTGCTGGGAGGCTCGGGTGTAGAGCGGCTCGGCTGCAGGGCGGCTCGGCTGCTGGGAGGCTCAGGTGTAAAGCGGCTCGGCGGCGAGGCGGCTCGGCTGCAGGGCGGCTCGAGACGAAGGAGGAGGAGAAGTAGGGGAGACCACACACCTGCCACCCCTCAGCTGGCCTCTCAGGTCGCCTCGACAGGCGACGGGAAAAGGGGGGGGGGGGGGGAGGCGGCTCGGGCGGCTCGGGCGGCTTAGGCGGCTCGGGCAGCTCGGGCAGTCAGCGGCACAGGCGGCTCGGGCGGCTCGGCTCCTCAGCTGCGCAGACGGCTCGGGCGGCTCAGGCTGCACGGCGGCTAACGGGCGGCGTGGGGGGCCAGGACGGCGGCGTGCAGCAGGGACGGGCGGCGCACGGGCGGTGTGAGGCCGGGACGGGCGCGCGCGGGCGGCTAGGGGCCGGGACCTGACACCTGGTAACTCCGCGACTGGCGCTACTCCTCCGCAGAAACAACACCAACAACTACAACACATGGTACCTGGACAGCTGCTGCGGACATCACATGGTGGGATCTGTTTTATACCTACGTCACTGTTGCCAACAATGAGCAGCTGCGCGCCAATGCACAAGGCATCGTTGTCCTGCAAGCACGAGACAGCAACACACACATCTCGTTCAACGACGTGCTCTACGTCCCGGACCTTCGTATTAACATACCCTCAGCAGGGCAACTCTGAGACTGCGGAGTTATGATCGCCACTGATCCAGATACCCGCGACCTCCTCCTTACCTACGCCCCGCCAAACACCCCTCCCGAGTCGCATAAATATCTCGGACGAGTCCGATCGATCAACGACATCTACGTCCTGGACTTCGACATCCGGAGCTGTCAAGCCTCATCAGACGAGCTCGTGGACCTCATCCCTCTTGACTTCCCTTTCATGAGCCAGGAGTCATGGCAGCACCCAGATGGACGACCATGGATTCGCCCCAGCCCTCATCCCCGCGAGATCAACCTGCACAAGCCAGACATCAATGGTCTCTGCACCACCTGTCACACACCCACGGCAAGCCGCACAGAGCAAGTGGAGAATGACTATGCGGCAATTCAGGAGGCGGAGAGTGCGGAGGCAGAACCCACGGGCATGACTGAAATGAAACTTGCAGTTATCGCTCACCGCATCTTCGGTGAAGGTGACGACGACCGCGGCTTCAGACTGCAAGAACGACCCACGCCGCGTTCCAACACACTCCACTTCGTCCTTAGAGCCAACACTAAGACTTTCGACAAAGAAGGCCACCCGCACCCTTACACCCGCGACGTCTATCGCACGGAGATTGACCCGGCCTGGAAGGATCCTGACGCAAAGAGAGAGCTCAGCGTCAAAGGAAAACGAGACAAGGCCAAGGAAGAGAAGAAGCAAAAACTGTACGAGGAACGCGTAGCGGCTGGATGGGATGAGGAGTCAGCACGACGAGGCGCATGGGGCGACGATGACTACAAACAGGAAGAAGGCGCAACCTGGGCATCCGCCACTGGAGCATGGGGAGCAAGTGCTAGCGGCATGGTCACCACGGGAGGATGGGGAAGTATTGAACCCGAAGAAGGAGAACTCACTCAAGAAGAGTTGGAAGAAGCCGAACGGGAGATGCGCGCTGAGCGAGGAGAGCAATCTCCGCGCATCGTCATTCCGCTCGGCCGTCCTCCGTGCACTCGCGAACCCCCTCGCTCGCCTTATCAATGGAACAACCCCTGGTCGGAGATTGAGGAGGGGAATGTGCCGCCAAATCCCCCACGTGACTGACTCTCTTGATCCAATCTCTTGCCCAGATCCATTCGCTCGTTTCATCGAAGGCACAACGACTCTGCTCAACATCATCCCCGAACGTGAATTCTTGGCGCTCTACCTTACGACGGCACCCGCAGAAGGGGAGACAGCAACAGAGATAGAATCAGAGGAGTCGGACAACGAAGCAGAACCAGGAGAAGAGGAAGAACCCCCACTCCTAATTCCGCAAGAGACGGAAGCGAAAACAGCTGAACATTACGCCCGCTACAAACGCACCTCCGGCATTCGCGCTGAAGACGATCTCTGGCACCAGCGACTCGGTCACCCCTCCCGCCAGACTCTTGCCAACTGTCTCCGCGCCAAATTCTTTCCCCCGGTAGCACTGCTGTGTCCCGATGGCACATAACCACACAACACCCCACATCCAATCACTTGCACCATCTGCCCCACAGCTGCACTCTCCCACAGCGCCTACCCCTCCCTGGAACCAAGCACCAACTATTACAAGAAGCTGGAGAAAATGTACAGCGACTTCATCGTGCTCACCTTGGACGACATCAGCGGCGAAAAATACACGCTCACTTCATTGACGCCTACTCACACCACGTGTGGATCGCCAATGTCGACGCCCGCTCCAAGGCTCCTGAAGTCTTTCGCATCTGGCTCGCACACGCGCAACGACAATCAGGGAGGAAGCTAAAAATATGGCAGAGTGACGGTGCTAAGGAATTTCGCAGCAACGAACTAGAGAGTGTCCTTAACGAGAAGGGGATCAAGCACGAGATCTCCCTCCCCTACGCTCACCAGCAGCAAGGCGTCGCAGAGAGGGTTAATCGCACCCTCATGACGAAAGTACGCGCCCTCATGAACCAGTCTGGCCTACCCAAGAAGCTTTGGCCCTACGCCATGAACCATGCGGTGCGCTTGCACAATCTTCTCTCCACCACCGCCAGCAGGGACAACCTTTCGCCTCACATTAAGTGGACCGGCTCAAGGGGAGACCCCTCCATGCTGAGGGTGTGGGGGTGCATGGTGCAGTTGTCAGAACATATCTATAGCTTATACTGCTGTGTAGGCTGTAGTGGGGTATCCCATAGGGGGTACAACCCAGTTAGGGTTTCATATTTGTACTGCTTTCATTCATAGTTCATTCATTCCTGCTTACTCTTTTCACAGCAGTATCAACCGACCGCGCGCGCTAGGGAATTCACTTGGGCCTAAGCAATGAGCACAAAGGCTGGCTCATTCTCGACATCGACAGCAAGGAGGTTGTTCCCGCGCGTGATGTTTTCTTCTACGAGCGTCTTACCTTGAAATAGTGGATCGATGATGAACGTCGCAACGAAGCTCGCGGCTACGTCAACAGCGGCCGCAGCTTCGCATCTCCAGAAGATGAAGCAGCAGCAGCAGCACTCAATCGCGACGACAACAACGAACATCCCAGCGTTCCGCCTCGCCCTCGCACGGACAATGACGACGACGACAGCAACGTCGCGCCCGCGCCTGGACCATCCCACCGCCATGAGCCAAGTACCGCCTCTCCCGGCTACAAGAGCAGCGACGACGACATGGTGGAAGTCACCACCACCACCGCAGACACTACTAATGTGTCCGGCCTACAGCTTCTCGGTCTGCATACGTCCGTCACTACTCTCGCACGCACCATCGAGCCCAAGAATCCTCGCCAGGACCTAACCGGTCCTCACGCCAAGGGGTGGCGTGCTGCCATGGATGCGGAACTGAAGGCGCTGGAATCTCGAGACACA